GGGGGGGGGGGGGATCTGGAGCTCCTCCCACTGGAGTCCCTGCCCCCTCCGGAGCAAGCCTGCAGCGCCCTGGGGAGCCTGGAAGTACAGTCAAACCAGTTCCCGTGAAAGGTCAGATTAAATCATTCCGACATTTCCTTCATGTGATCTGTCTACCAAATACTTATATAGTTCTTAGGATGTGCCAAGGCCACACTCACGCAGATCTTCCCATCAATCCTGTAAGGGTGATCGGGGATATCGGACATACGTGTATACTCATGCACAGCCTCTTTTTGGAAAGACACATGAGAACATAGCATGTGTTGCTTTTGAAGGTAAAGATGGGACACGAGGGAGAGCTCGGAGGGTAATCTAATATTTATAGCATGCACGTATATTTCCTATTCAAAAGTTTAAACCTAAAATGTTTAATCAAGTGAAGTATCTGCTTTAAAGGGGTTACTCTTTCAAATGGTCCTCATCAGCCAGATGGAAGTAGAAGTGATGGGCTGTTACGCTACAACGTACCTAACCTTGTAGCTAAGCATTCAGGCCAGCAGAGGATTTAAATCTGAAACTCATTAACAATCCTTTTCCCAGTAAAAACAGACACTGTATCTTAAGAGCACTGCTACTAAAGAATTCAAATTTTCACACCTATTAAATTACCAAAACTTAAAATTAAAAAAAAAAAAAAAATGCTGTTAACCTCCAGTGCTGAAGAAACTAAGTGAAACAGCACACAAATTGCTGGTGGAGATGCCAGTGAAACACCTATGGTTCATTCAACTCAGTGAGCACCGACTCAGTGCAAATCAGCATGTATCAGGGTAGAAAAACAAACCATTTGAAAGAGTAACCCCACTGTGAGACTTTATCCTGTGAAAATAATTCTGATCAAGGAAAGAGCAGGCAAAGGCTAGTAAAACGAAGGAAAGAAGAGCTGCAGTTTCCCAGTAGGAAGTCAGAACCTTTCCAGCTAATGATACCAGGCTTTGCACATTCTGAAACACAGTTCCAGGCCCACGAAGAGATACACAGTTCTAGACCTCAACTTGGCCAACAAGGCAGCACTTTGAAACTGTTACACAAAAACTGTAAAGCACTGAAAAAATGACAAAGATTAAGGAAGCCCACAGAGTTCCACCTGCCGCTGCTCTGGCAAAATATACAGTATATTTAATTACAGAGATAAGCAATTTACACTTTAGTATGAAATAGTACTTCTCTATATTCCCACCCACACCAAAACTTTCTTTCTTTGAAGTTCGACACTTCAAGAATGGTAACTGTTTTCACTGTAAATACGAGACTTAGATGTGTTTATTAAATACAGGAATATTTAATATACAGCCTGCCTACTAAACACACACTGTACCAACAAATACAAGGCTATTATTACGTAAGGTAATAGCACCTTACCTTGTCCATGTCATCTTTCAGGCTGCTTTTACACACATTATCTCAGAAACTTACATCGCCTCGCAGACAGGCAGAGCAGGTATTATTTTCTCTTTACAAATAAATTCTTTAGAAAGGACAGAGGAGTGATCTACTTTGGCTACTAAAGGAGAGGGTCGGGGTACATTCTGCTCTTCCGATCTCTCCTCTACCCTTTAAGCTGTCCCGTGCGGCAGAAAAATACTAGGAAATGTTCCGTTTAGCCGCAGCAACCCAAACTTGAGATCTGGTCTTTCACCCTCTGGGAAACGACAGCTTCGTTTATTTAAAAGTATAATTACAAATAAGAATGATGAGAGGTGTGTTCTGTTTAAGACTACTACTCCCCCCCCCCAAAAAAAAACTACAGAATTAATGCTGGCATGAATAGCAAGTACATGAGCTGACCCCATTTCTACCTTGTCTGAATGAGTAGCAGCGCTGGGGTGACTCTACCAAAACGTACTGAAGCCTTCGATGCTGGGCCAGCAATGCGACACTGCTGCAGATTCCCGGGCAGGAGGTCTGGGTCCTAAGCCCAGATTTGTTAATAATTAGTTAGCTACCTTAGTTAACTACTGAGGCCACGGTCAGGGGGCGGGGGGAACCACTAAGAGGCAGAGAGTAGATCAGTGGCTGTCAGGGGCTGGAGGGCTGACTTCTTTTGGGGGTAACGAGCAGCTCTGGAGTTAGTGAGTTACATAACCCTGCGAGTACACTGGAAACCACTGAACGGTACCCTTTACCGGGTGGATTTTACGATACATGAATTGCATCACAATTAAAGAGGCCCACTACACGCTCACTCTGTGAGAGAGATAAAAATCTCTTAAGGAAGATAAATTTACTCATGGAAAAATCAGAGAACAATTTAATACTAAATTACAGGAATGAGACTTGCAGGTAAAATAAAAATGCAGAAATGGGGGGGGGGAATGAATCTGACCTGAGATAGACCGAGGTGTCAGCAAAGAGGCATGAATGAATGGAGAGCCTAAAAATTAATCTACAGTAACCTTACATCCAAAATGCCACCTCTTCCTGACACTTGTTACTTTTTCATGCACCATAAAACACCACACGCCAAGAAAACAGAGGCGACTTCACTGCCCCTTTCCCATAGGGAAGCGGGAGAATGGGTTCCCTCGGGCTCACTGCCCTGGGAAACAGCTGTGAGAAACTTGACTCTCTGGCTCAGGCCTCAGATGGGTTCCTGGGAACTTCTGAGCTAAATTATTTCCATCATAAAGGGGGCAACAATAACCAGATGGAAACAACACCCAGCCTTCCAGAGGTGCCCAGCATCCTGCTGGACACTAAGAGGGCAAGGCTGCTCACGAAGCCCAGCATCGGCGTGGAGGCCCTTCTTCCCCGGCTGGAGTGTGGACTGGGTCACCCTTCTGCACGACAGGAAAACGCTAGCTTCCCTCCAACCTGTTAAAGCAAGAACTTCGTGTTCCTATGGTATGAACTGCAGGAGAAGAGATCAAGCCGGTCAATAAATAACAGAGAAAACTAAAGAGTAGAGGACTGCGCTGGCCGGGTAGCCCAGTTGGTTACAGTGATGTCTGGATCCCTGGTCAGGGCACATTCATGAGTCAACCAATAAATGCATAAATAAGTGGGACGACAAATCGATGTCTCTCTCTCTCCCAAATCAATAAATTAAAAAAAAAATTAAAGCAGAAGATACAACAGACAGCTCATATAAGATAAATGATAAAACCTGGGGGGGGAATAAATGTGTAAATTAAAACAATGAGATACCACTTACAACTATTAAATTAGTTTTCACTTAAAAGATAAGCACCTAAAGAGATGAGATTGTAAAAAAAAAAAGGTGATTCCCTCAAGCACAAGATGGTGATACATTGTTTAAAACCTCATTTAGAAAGTAAAATGAGTCATGTATCAAAAGCCATGAAATTATGGGCACCTCATGACCTTACTTCTGGGAACCGATGCTGAAGAAATCATTGAAATGAAGAAAAACTCTAAATGCCTGAAGATTTTCACTCCAGTGTGAGATCTGTGAAGAGTAAAATGGAAAACTAAACACCCAGCAACGGAAAAGTAAGTTAAGATACATCTGCTGAAAGGGCTCTGACCCAGCTACCAACCGCTACAAGCATAGTGTTAAAAATGGGAAGGTAATAAGTTATAGATTATAACCATTTAAAACCTATGTCCACGTGAACTGATTTGAATGAAATCAGTGGCACTGGGAGAGATGTCACTTTTACATTTTTTAAATCTCAGCATTAACATATTTTTACAGTAATTTACAATTTGAAAGTACATTTAACATACACATAAACTGTGAAAATACATAAAAGAACTTGAAAATGTGTCATAAAAATGGTAAAAGTCACAATTATATTATGTTTCTGCTTCTTAAAGTGATCGAGCTGAAGAGCAAGAAAATTCTGGGAAAGATAAAACCCTATTTATACAAAGTTGTCCCAGGCAACCTCCAACACGCCACAGTAATTCACGGCCAAGTCATGTTCAAATGAAGACTCTCTCTTCCAAAAACCCAAGGTCACAGACAATCTTCATTTAAAAAGAATGGGTCACAGATTTATTTTAAGAGCTCCGCTTTTACAGTACTTGCATTCACTGGAATAATGTTATGCTATTAATAAGAATGATTCATTTTTCAGAGAGGCATTATTTCCAATTAAAATGTGGAAGACTTTCCCAAGAAGAAATTAAAAAAAAAAAAAACCACAAACCTGGCTATACAAGAAATTCTGCTTTGTGTCTGAGGCTAAAGTGTATTCCTTTGATTTAAAAAAACCATATGATGTTGTAGAGGAAGAAAAGGAACCGAGTGGAAAATGTCCCTTGTGGCCGAAAGGAAATTAAGCTCCGCAATAACACCTTGATTGTTTTGATGTATAAAACTTGAATCCCATTAGGTTCACTTCAGAGAAAAAAAGAATGTGAGGGGGGAGAAAATGCTGTCCTTTAGAGATAAATGAACAATCTGTAAAAAGATGACATAAATCTTCCCCAAATCGTACAGGTCACGGGAGACTCGCGTGGGGACAGCCAGGCAGCA